ACCAGAGAGAGAAGAAAAAAAAAAAAGTTTAAAGACAGACATTTGAAAACTTTAATTTGTCTTCACTTGACCAAAAGTATGCTGTGAATCAACAATGCAATTTGTCTCAGCCATATTCTTCCTGTATCTGCTGCAGTAAAGCAGCTTAGCCTTTTCTCCATGTCTGCTGCGGTTTACATAATCAATTCTGACTCAGTTATTTAATGATGTGAAATACAAACATTTCTTTATCAACTCATTTTGCAAAATATTCTGCCTAATTAATCTCTCTTCAACACCACCTATTACTTTCTCTCTGTTTTTAAACACAAGTTTTCACAGCAAATGTTACAAGAGGATGACAAGGGCAATTATCACTAGAACAAAGCAGAACGAAGCTATGGTAATGAGAGGAACTGCAGTTCATTCACTGAGGTTCTGGCAGTGATGAAAGGAGTAAACTAAGCCTACCTTTATTTTATAGATAACAAAGCAATTACAGCATGTAAAGTAATACAGAGAAAATAATAATTTACTGGAAAACTAAGAGAACAGAAGACTGAAAAATACAAAGAAATGCACACTTGTATAAAAAATAATTCACTATATCAAAATTATTATGAATAAGTGACATATAAGAAGTGTTGGGATGCATAGCAAATAAAACCACCTTTACAAAAGGAAATACTGTTAATTGGGAGAAAAACAAAACAAACCCTCAAAACAACAAAAACAGAAAAAAAAATATAAGGTGAAAAAAACCCACAACAAAAAATCACAGGAATAAACAGAAGTGCTTTATTGAATTCTGCAAAGGGGTAGCATATTTTGTTATAGTAAAATTTATCCACAAAAAGCAAAATGTTGTTTGAGTAGGGGAAACACCATGATCCAGAAACAGCCCACATACATTACAAGGAAAAGACACATAACTTTAGAATGGTGCGCTAAGGCCACTTTGGCAGTTGGTATAGATAATGATAAATTAAAAGTACCATTGCACCTCTTGTTCTGTGGCTGGCATTCAGTACCTGTCAGAAAGGTAAATTTAAATTTCCTCTTTCTTCCTGCTCCACAGTGCCTTTGAATGAAGTTCAGGAATGGAAAACCTCACAATGTATGAGCTGGAAGGCTCAGATAGGGTTCCCATGCTGCCTCTCCTGCAATCTGACCACCCATAGGCACCTCCACCAGATGTAAATGCTAGCAATAAAAATTGGTTACACATTCACATCATGTCATCTTGTCCTCTGATTTCAGCAGTTTCGCCTGTCTTAGAACAGCAAACAAATAAGTGAAAGCCTTAGTTAGGAAAAAGCTTCTGCACTAGAAATTCAGTCAGTAATCTGAAAGCCATAAAACACCACATTAAAATCCAACGTTTCCTAAGCTCATGTTTTGGCAGCACAGCATGGCTTAAAATAAAATTAAGAACATGCAAAGAGAAATCTGAGGCTCAAAAAGGACAAGTGCCTGGCTCAGACTCATGAAGTGAGTAACCAAAACAGCCTCAGGTCCTGCTTGTGCAATCAATCTACTGCCCTGCTCTGCATCCACTTCAAGTACATTTGTGGCAGCCTCTCTTGGATTTTCAATATCTGTCAAAATAAAAGATCCTTTCATTGCCTTCTTCTAGGCTAGAATTGCCCATCCTTGCCTACAAGGAATTTCCTATGAATAAGCTGGTCAGTGGTACCTTCTGGAAGACAGATGCCACAGATGTGTATCTTCCTTATCTCCCTACTCACAGTTCAGCATGAGCATCTACAGCCTGGAAAGCAGCATTAACCCCACGTGCTAGGCTAAGGAGCTGAGGCGTTCAGCAGTACTCCAGCAGATTAGGAGCAGGAGTAAGTGCCAAGCAACCTGGGTTTCCACCCTCTTTCTCAACTTGTTTTATTGCAGAGCATAACCTCTACAAGTCTCAATTCTCAGACTTGAAAAAGTCAGATAATTACACCTCTGTAGCTCATGGGGACTCTGTGAAGTTTAAATTAATAATGCTTGCCAAATGCTATGTAAGTGCAAAGAATTATTAAGGTCACTCAGCATCAAAAAGGGGACCAGAGTCCAGGGTTTTATGGTTCTTGGCCCCATATATAAAACACAAGACTTTCCACTCAAGCATTTGTATTAAATAAATCCAGGGCTTCAGTTCTTTACTATTTAATATGTGAAATGTCTAGACAGCTGTTCATTCCAAAACTGATTTCTACAAAACACGTACATTTTTACTAAGCAAAATTGCACTGTTTTGGGCTGTCTAACTACTCACTAAGACATTTCCTGGCAGGTTAAATAAGAATTTTCCTCCAGAAGTTCTATCTATCCCACAAGCAAATTATTTTTTCTGAGACATTAAATAAGAATAAACACAATAAAAAAACTATAGTTCTTCTAAGTAGATAATAGATGGAAGCTTGTTTTTATTTACAAACCATTTTAGGAATGTACCTATTAGTTTTTCTTTATTCTTCAGTTCAAAAAATGTTTTTTATTGGGTGGAAAGATGAATGCAGGATTTTCCTGTGTTTATATTCATGCAAGGACTTGATCTTAGGAAAAAATCCTACTCATTAACAATCCTTAACTTCAAATTATGTCAATATAAAGAGGATTTAAACACAGTATAAATATGCCCTTAATAACATCTTGGCCCATTCATTTGGGAGGCTCTTGGGGAAACACAAACCTCAGGACTAATTTGTTGTTGAAACTGGCTCAGCACAAAGGAGTGGAACTGTACATAGCTTTAGGATTACAAGACAAGATGATGGAAGCAGTTGCTGTTCTTCCAGACACACAATGACAAGTAATTGTTCTCTGGAATATGGTTTAAGAACTAGTAAAATGCTTCTTATTATCCCTTTCAGTCACACTAAGAACAACAGTCTCTAAAACATATTCAGTTCACTCCATTGGCTGGGCAGGGGAGATAAACTGTGAGCACACTTTAAAAAAATATCTCTCATTGAAAAGGGACAATATTTTAAAACAGTGACTCTCTGTAATATGTTTTCCCACTCTCTGTAATATGGATTCCCACTGGAATCCAGTAAAATTTGCAAACGTCAGACAGCCAGGATAAATTTTCTGCAAAGTAAGTTGATTTCATATTTTAGCATTTCTGTTGAAGAAATAGGAAGCATGCCTGGAAGTTCACAAATGAGATAACCCTCACAACTTCACCCAGACTCTGCAATATGCAAACCCAGGTTTTATTCTAACCTCCTTTTCTGGCATAGAACAATACATGACAGTGATTTTAAAATAAAATATATCTTTTTTGTTTCCTTTTATGTTTGTTTGCTTATTTTGTTCTGTGGGTGGGTTAGCATGAGGTTTGAGTGGTGCTTTCCCCTGCTCTCACTGGTATTCCCATTTATAGTTTTAATTTTGAAGCTATAAGGTCATACAAATGAAAAAGCTGAGATTGACATTAGACAGGACAACAACAGGACATTTCTACAGAATTTAGTGTCACAAAAGATATCACAACAGTAGTGTTAAAGTATATGCAAACTCCTCATAAATAAGATAGCACATGAAAATTTCTGGCATCATTGCAGGATCTAGATACTAAAACTAAGATTTTGTTTTACATTCCTTTCATTGCCGAAATTATGGAATGTCAAGAGTTGGAAGGGACCATAAAGGTCATGTAACCCCAACCTGCACTGTGAAGGGCAGGGATATCATCCAGAGAACAGGCTGATTTTAAAGCCTTATCCAACCTCCTTTGAGCACTGCCAGGGCTGGCACATCCACAACATCCTGGACAATCTGTTCCAGTGCCTCACCACCCTCACAGTGAAGAATTTCTTCCTAATTTCTAGCCTTTTTCCATTAGTACCCATTGTTCTTTGTCCTATGATTACAGATCCTGGTGAAGAGTCCTTCTCCACCTGTCCTGGGCACCCCTTCCTGTTACTGGGAGGTTGCTGTGAGGTCACCACAGCGCCTTCTCCTCTCTAGGCTGAAGAGCCCCAGCTTTCCCAGCCTGGCTCTGTGGGGAATGTGCTCCAACCCTCTGAGCAGCTCTGGGGCCTCCTCTGGCCCTGTTCCAACAGGTCCATGTCCTTCCCATGCTGGAACCTCAGAGCTGGGTGCAGGGTTCCGGGTGGGCTCTCAGCAGAGCAGAGCAGAGCAGAGGGGCAGAGTCCCCCCGCCTCTCCTGCTGCCTAGGATGCTGCTTTGGATGCAGCCCAGGGCACATTTGGCTCTCTGGGCTGTGAGTGCCCATGGCTGGGTCATGTTGAGTTTTCCATCAACCATCATATCCAAGTCTTTCCCCACAGGGCTGCTCTCAGTCCCGTCCACATCCAGCCAGAGGGTGTGTTGGGATTGCCATGACCCAGGTGTAGTACACTGTAGTTTAATTTAGTACATTTATAAAAACAGATAATAAATATTTAAACAAAACACTCCATCTGGAAAACAATAATATTACTAATATGCTTGGGCCAAATGTGCACTTTAAAGAAAAATGCACGGAAAAAAGTTTATCCTAAACCTTGCTCTTTCACCAATAGTTTTATAAATGAATCAGTAGCAGCTGGTGCGAAACTTAAATTAATTAGAAATGAAAATGTAAAAATATACACATCGGCTTAAACCAATTCTACTGGAATGAAAATTTTGCCAGCATTGTATCCAGAATGTCCTTGTTGGTGAAATATAAAGCTGTATTATTTTCTATGAAGCTGGAAAGAAGGAAGGACAATAATTTAAAGTGAAACCTTACATCCATCTTTGAAACAAAAAGAGTTTGTGATAAAGACGGCCATTTGAATTTGTTTTGGCTTGCAGGACTAAAGACATTAGAAGGAGTATCTCATATATTTTTGATTAAGAACAATATCATTATTCAAAGATTTAACTTCACATTTCTGTTTACTTTTTAAGTTAGGTGAGAAAGCTCTCTCAAACAGAAAATCCACACACAGTCCTCAACCCTTCTAGACTGACAGTGGATGAACATATTTCCCATAATGTAGTTTTCCTTTAAGAGGCAGAATTACCTGTTTTTGAAGTGGTGAGAGGGGAGAACATTCAAGGTCTATCTGATTAACCAGATACTTTACAGAGAATATTTTTCTTCAGCTGCAGAGATGGAGTGAAATTCAAAAATCCTTGTGGTGCATTTTGTCTTCCTGAACTTCTCTGATTTCATCCCCAAACAGGGATACTTCAACTCTGCAAGGTGAATGTACATTATTTTGATAATGTCACAGTAAAATAAAAAGTACATGCTCAAAATCAGCTTGGTGAAAATAAAAAGAAGTGCTACATACAGCAATGCCTGACATGTTGTGCTCATCACTCTATTAGTCCCAGGGAGCCTGTCTTTAAACGAGGAAGCGTTTCCGTTTCAGTGCATTGTCTGGTTCCTGTCTCCTTCCACATTTTGTATGTCAGCTCTGTAACTATTACTTGAGCTAATCTAAAAGAAATAACCTACCTATTCAGGAGAAGTCTGAACATTTCACATAAGATTACATTTCTTCCTTTCCATGTCAGGAGCGATAAGCAAAACTCAATACCCTGAGCATAGAAATGATAATTCAAAGAGAAAGAAAATACTCTTGACATTTTAACAATAACAAGTTATTAATATAATTCACTTCAGTTGAAAGAAAGTAGAATACATTTACAATGCAACTGAATAAAGGTTAAGTGTATTTTGTGTTTTGCTCTGCATTAAATATAAATATCTGTCATATCAAATCCTAGACTAGTTGTAAGCACCCTCTTAAAATCCATGTTTTTAGAAGTAAAGAAAGCAATTTAAAGTACCATTTTTACAAATTACAAAATCCCAATCAGGCAAACCCCATATGGAACAGCTCAAGAAATGTAGCATAGCTATTCTGAGCAGAGTTCTCCGCACACTGGGAACATCACAATCTCTGATACAACTGGTGCCATTGAGATACAGCATCCTTGCAGCATCTCACTTAGGAGCAGTTTCACAAAATAAAGGAATATAAAGCAGACTTGTGTCTTCCTTTTCCTTGCTTGTTTCATGTTATCCCCCTTCCATACTCCCCTCTATGAAAATAATATATTTTTTGTAAGAAAATATTTAACCAATAAAAAAAACACTAGAGATTTCTTCATAAGAATTTTTCAAGGTACCTGCTGTATTATAAAAGTAGAAAACAATCCAGACATAATTAATAACAAATCTAATGTCATTCTTTCTCTCTTATTAATTTATAAGAGCAGTCAGATTGAAGAAAGAATTGATTTCTGAAGGTAGCATTTGCTTCTCTACATGCGGGATCAAAGACTGAAGCTGCCAGAATTTTCCACTTCCACCAGTGGAGTCTTTGTTCTTTCCTGGGACATTTTCAAGTCTGTATTTTAAATGCCTTTCCTTTCTTCTAAAATTTAGGTCAAACACTCTACCCCAAAGGTAAGAATCTTTGAAAGGTAAGGGAAGCAATGGGCTCTAGGCTGGCTTCCCACTACATTTTTTTTAATGGGCCACCAGTGGTAAAATAGTTCTGTTCTAAAACTAGGAGATATGGCCTGTCATCACTAGCAAGAGTCTCACTACTTTAAAACAAAACCCAAATAATGAAAAACAAATGCTCTAATTTTTGGGGATTTTACACCATACAGGATTTGGTGATACAGAGATTCCCCTCCAACCCCCCTCCCCTTAGGATGCATACTCCAGCCAGTAGAGTCCTTCACAGACAAGAACCAAACTCCACTTTCCACTATTTGCTTTACAATGCTTAGAAATATGTACAAGGTTGCCTACATAGATACCAGCTACTGAACAAATGACCTCTCTTCCCTATATCCTAATCAGCCACTAACAAATGAACAGAAGTAACAGAATAAAGGGTATTTGTCAGGAGCACTTCCGTTTTTCTAACATATTTTCCTTCAAAAGCACAAAAGGTAAAGCACTTGGCAGATGCAGTGCGCAAAAAATGCTTTACAGAAGGTGGGAACTCTCACAGTCAGACGAAGAAAGGACACATGGAAGGTTTTCATGTGCAGAAGTGTTCTTCATTTGAAGGGAATTAAATAGAGAAAGCTGAGGAAGGAGATGGACAACAAGGAATAACAACAAAAGGATGCAGAGGGTAAAGAAGAATTAAAATGAAAAAAAAGCTAATGAGAAGTTCAGCTGCAAATCAGTGCAGTATAAAATTATACAAAGGTAATTAGAAGAGCAAGTTCAGTCTGTATGTTCTGTTCAGAAGAACAAACAGCTTATTTGAAACCATGGTTTTCACATTAGAAAGGCAATTCCCGCATCAATAACAGATACACATTTACTAATGATACAGATACACTCTACTGCTGTGAGAAAACATATACTTACAGAGAGGTGAAGGTTATATTTAAGGCAAGGAGTGCAGCCAGATCTTGCAAAGGACACATGCATCTTGTGTGCTGCAGCTCTAAGCAAAGTAGAAACTTGTAACACTGATGATATTTGCAAGGTTTCTAGCTCTGCTCAGAAAACATCTGCAGAAACCAGCTGCATAAGGACAATGCCAGAGAATAAAGCAAAAACAAGCCAGTAAATTTTAAATCTATGATGACAAGCTCAAAGGCTGCTGAACAGCCACTTTTTACTGGGAAAAAGACACATAAATCTTCTGCAATGAGAGTAAAAGTGGATAGTGGAAGGAATACAGAAGTCTAATAACATGAAAGAATACATATAAGAAAAGCAAAGTCAATGATGAGTTGAACAAGTTGATTAAAATAGACACCAATTTAGATGAAGGATCTTCAGCTCCATGTCCGCCTCTACTGCTTCCTCTGAAGTAAAAACACCAAAGACTGAAAACAAATCCGGCTCAGTTCTCTACCACAGAAGGAGGACAGGCTCCCCGTGAGTACAGCAGTTTTCCTGCATGCATGGCACAGGAGTCGCAGAGCAGCAGGAATTCAGCAAGAAAAGGGAGTGTGGAAAGGTCTACTTAGATATTCCTCACTCCTCAGGACTCTTCCGTAAGGAATGACCTCTGTACCTTTTTCACCTCAAAGTGGGCATCAAACTCTGCATTTGTTAAAAGTCCTATGACTAAAAAAATGATCAAACACTAACACATGTTAAGCAATTGCAGATGAGACAGCATATTTTCTTTCAGATTTACCTACAAAGAGAATTTAAATAATATACAGTAATGTGGCAGTTTAACTCTTGCCGTGAAGATTAAGGGGATGACCTCAATTTCCCTCCCACCCATCTGGGACTCTGGCCTTTGGGCTAGTTAGTTCTGTCACAGTCATGCTGTGAAGTTACTTTCAACTCCACTGAGAGATTTTGGTTGAAAGAAAATATATTGAAGAATAAAATAGTTCTTTAAAATTAGTAAATAAAAGGCTTTAAACAAAAATGCACACCTTTAGTTATTGCAAATCAATACACAGAGCTCTAACATGACTTCACAAGAAATTTTGAGATCTAAGAGATTTTTCTAAATTACTTTTTTTCTTTAAAGAGCCATCTATAAAAGAATTCAAAAAATCATATTAGTTACATTCGCTATATAATCTCCTAGCATACATTCAAGAAAGACTTTTGTTCAAGTGCGTCACACTCAATACAAGAAAAATTTCATTTTTAGGAAAACACATAGTATTCAAGCTCAAAATCTGTTAAAGCTAGTGTTTTGTTGAGTGGGAGAAATGAAATGGCAGTCAGTGTGCACAGCTCGCTACAGGAAAGACATCCAAGAGAGATGTTTCTGACTCAAAATGGTTAAAAATGTTACCTGCTTCCTCTTCAACTAAACAAGTTAAATGTTCTGAAGTACCGAAGCAGGTTCATAAGTACTTTGGATGCTACAAGTAAAAGTGACATTAGCAAATAAAACCACCCTGGTAAGTAGAAAAGAAGAGCTACTACTAACTTCTAAGAGAATTATGAAGAAAAGTAATAGTTTCATCACAATTTTGCCATTTATCTTATAAAGAAATAATAGGGGTAAGTGAACACAAAAATAACCCCCAACATTAACATTTTAATAAACTACAATTGTATTTTAAATAGTGTTCTCCTGTTTAGAACCTCTGCATATTTTTTTTAAGGAATGGCAGGAGATCCAGACAATGAAAACACATCTGGAGTTTGCATTGTCAAAACAACATATTTTCTTGAAAACAAATTTATGAAAACTGTAAAGCTTACATTCAAACTCAGACATATTGAAATTATATAAAAGAGGACGGCACTTTTGCTGTAAGCATTTCAATTGATCATTTGGTGCGTATCAGCTCACAAATGCTGAATCATGTTCACAAGAGAAATCCAACCAGCTGGCTGTGTTCTCTGTGTGGGTTGAATCAGTGTTATCAGATTAATGTAAAGAGACTGGTCCAGACCTGAGCGTAGAACAGAACAGAATCTGTTTCTAACCATACTTTGTAAACCATTTGTTGACTTTCGTTTGATGAGTCACCTCTAAGGCATGAAAGAGCTAAACCATGAATACTACCAGCTTGTAGTTTCTTTTTCTTGAATCTCCAGAGGCATAAACAATTATATTGAAAGCTTTTCATAATGCAGTAAAAATGTTCTACAAGAGTCATTATTATCGAAGACAACCCACTGCCGCTAATGACTTTACCTCTATCTAGTGTTATGTATTATCATCATCATGTGTCTTGTTTGCTAGGAGGTAGACTGCATCAGTTCACCCAGAAAGCACTCAACAAAAACATACTAGGTTCTCCGGGAAAAACTGGGTGTACACTTTATTTTAGGATGTTCATACCAGTGGTAGGGTGTCATCGCTCAGGCTAGCATGTCATTGCTAATATCAAACCAATTCATTGACAGTTGCACCAGGAAAATATTAACAGCTGGCCAAAAAAGTGAGCTGAAGACATGTTCTCCTGGCAGAGGAAACAAGAGCAAGCCTGTGCTTTGCCTTGTAATGTTACAGCTAAGCTCCCTGGAGGCGGTTAGCTTTACATTAGGATGGTGTCTGCAGGAGACACAGCGGCACTCCTGACTGCCCACAAAATGTATTCTGGAAGATCACACAAACTTAAAACAGGCCTGATGATAGACAATGTATTTGCTTAATTTTAAGAAACAAAACAAAACAAAAAGCACTAAATCTTGGACATCAAGGAGAATGTGGACCCACAGATTTTAGTATCTAAGTGTCCTGGTTATAAAAAGAACTGAGTAATTTTAAGGGGTTCCTTCAAAA